TGTGTGTGTGTGTGTGTGTGTGTGTGTGTGTGTGTGTGTGTGTGTGTGTGTGTGTGTGTGTGTGTGTGTGTGTGTGTGTGTGTGTGTGTGTGTGTGTGTGTCTGCGCGCATCAAAATAATTTGTACTACAGTCACCAAATAAAAGTTTAAAGAAGCAATTTAATTTTAATTCCACAGAGATACAATGCAGTCCTCAAAGGGTTAGAGTGCTTTCCAAAGATTTTTGACTATTTTCTTTTTCCCCCCTTTCCTTGAAAATTAGAGGAACAGCGGAATACTGCTGCTAATATACTGAGACTAATTCATGGTAAGCACAATTTTTTGTAACCCTTTGAGCACTGACATGTTTCAGAATTTACCACAAAAGATATAGATGAAGAGAGCTTAACATAAACTTGCTGCGGATTTTCAAAATATATAAAACATGTTTATTCTATCTTTTACAATTTCTTTCTCTCTGTTGTTTTTAGTGACGCCAGTTTAATGCAGATGCCAATATGTAAAAAAATTAATTTTAGCTTTAAACAAATTATGTTCAAAAAGATTCAAAGCTTAAAAAATAGAATGAACAAATAACTAAAATTATTCCATTAGAACAGATCTTATCTATTATTTTTTCTCTTCTCAAATTTCAGATCCCTTGACTACTCACATGGAAATGGTGACTGAAATTGTTGTACCAACGGTGTTCACACTCTGCATACTTATCAGTGCCATTCTATTAATGTTCCTTCTTCGGAAGCACAACTAAAACTACAAGTTTACATAACATCTTCATTTTGCATAGGCAATAAAATGCCACTCTTATTCTAACACTGTTTTAAAGGTTTCCACAGATGCCTCCTTTACGTAACACTGTAATGTTAAAAAAAAAATCAGCTTTATTTTTGTGTACATATTGTTGCTTCTACATTTTATTCAATTTCAGCCATAAGACGTAATTTAGAAATCTTACAAAGGCAATTCACGTCTCAGTATTATATTCTATCAAAATTCAACTGCAGGTTTTATCTTCCTTCATGTTTTGCAAAGTACACCTCTAGCCTGATATAATGCTGTCCTCGGGAGGCAAAAAAATGTTACCACGTTATAGGTGAAACCGCGTTATATCGAACTTGGTTTGACCCACCGGAGTGCGCACACCGCCCTTCCGAAGCGCTGCTTTACCGCGTTATATCTGAATTCATGTTATATCGGGTCGCGTTATTTTGGGGTAGAGGCGTATGCATTTTCTTCATTAGGACAACAGGTGACTGAGATTAAATTGTTTCAAAGCTTGCCAATATATATTTCAAGGATAGGCAGATTGTTGGCAAGTTCTGTTTTCAACCTGTTCCATGGTAATTAAAAATACAGTGCTGATGTGCTAATTACGAAATACGAACATAGAATACTTACAGCATATCATACTTCAAAATCTTAATGGCATTGCATAAACATTAACTAGTCATCTCCATACAATAATAATTAGGTATTATTAACCCAAATTTTGCACACCGGTGGAATAAATGTGATAGACTAACTGACTTGTTCACAGACTTATGGTCAGAGCCAGAACCAGAAGTAGGGAATCCTGATGTCCAGTCCTATGCTTAGGCCACTAGACCTACCTCAGCATTAGGACCCTACCAAATTCACGGTCCATTTTGGTCAATTTCATGGTCATAGGATTATAAAAATAGTAAATTTCACAGTTTCCAATATTTAAATCAAAGTTTCACAGTGCTGTAACCGTGGGGGTCCCAACCTAGAAAGGGCTTTTTGGGGGGTGGGATGTCACAAGGCTATTGTAGGGGTTCACACTATTGCCACCATTTCTTCTGAACTGCTGCCTTCAGAGCTGGACAGTTGGGAGCCCAGCTCTGAAGGCAGCGCCACTGTCAACAGCAGCGCAGAAGTGAGGATGACATGGTATGGTATTGTCACCCATACTTGTGCACTGCTGCTGGTGGTGGTGCTGCCTTCAGAGCTGGGCTCCCAGCCAGCAGCCGCGTAGCTTCCTGGAGCCGGGGGAAGGTTCCTGAAGGGAGGGCTGACCCTGCCTTGGGAGCAGCCCACGCAGGGGAAGAGGAAGTCCCCTCCTTCCCCAGCCTAGCCGGGACTAGCAGCTGTAGCCCAGCACACAGTACCCCCGGCTGGAGAACTCCCAGCCCTGCTCCTGGCCCAGCGCTCGGGGGTTAAAGGGACTTTAGGCTGGCTGGCTGGCTGGCTGTGTGTGTGTGTCCACAGCGCCCTGGACAGTCACCACCGTCACCCACCCATAAAGGTCAGCTCTGCTACCCCCCAAAATGACAACCCCCTTCATACCATGCCACCCTCAATTCTGCACTGCTGCTGGTGGCAATGCTGTCTTCAGAGCTGGGCATTCGGCAGGTGGCTACTGCTCTCTGGCCACCCAGCTCTGAAGGCAGCGCTGCCCTCAGCAGCGATGCAGAAGTAAGGGTGGCAATACGACGACAATAATCAGATTTCATGATCCATTACACATTTTTCACTGTCAATTTGGTAGGGCCTACTCATTATACATCTCTTTCTTTATTAGAGAATGTTGCACACACACAAAAATGTGATCCAAGGACTTGGACATGTAAGTTAAGATACTGTACCAAATTCAGTCCTGCTCCAGCTTAATCAAAATGCACCTGCTTCTACAGAACTGAACTAGTTCCAGAGTATGGCTAGCAACCTGCCATTGCTTGGCCTGAAATGATTCCTTCAAAGCAAGACTTTATGTTCAACTTTTACCAAAATTCCAAAACACAAACTAAATTTGTGGATGTCAGATTAACTGTGCACAAAATGGATAGATTTCTTAGCTTCTATTCAAGAAGAGTGAATAAAAGTCAAAGACTTAAAAAACCCACACATTTAAACTGTATTTTAAAATTTAACTTTAATTTAAATTTAAATGTGTTTTTATTGTTCAAGACAGATTAATTTATTTAAATTTGAATTTATGACAACCTATGCTAAGGCCTAAACTGACTATCATCTATTAAAATAATTTATATACATTTGAATAAATAAAAATCTCATACACTGATTCAATGAGCCATTTTCAAACTATAAAGGCTTCTTTTTTGGTATATAAAATCAGGGCGAAAACATCTTTAACTATATTTTGGGGTCAAAATTAATAATATGGTACCATCTATATCATTTTCAGTTTTGACAAAGGAATGAATGCTGGCAGTTACTTTTTTCCAAATGTCAGTACTTACAGTTTCTGTTGTGCAGAAAAGCTTTGGCCTCAAATTACAGAACAAATGTATGTTATGCTATATAATTAGATAAATGTGCATCCTCCTAGCAAAATGTAGTACCAAATCTAATGTAAAGGCTATATTTAACTGTAAGTAATCAAATCAACATGTTTTAATAGTTATATAAATGTTCTTTATGAAAATAACTCAAAAGTACAAATGAAAAAAAGTGATTAAAATCAATTATTTGCATTTGAAAGAAGGCTGAATTTGGGCTAGATGAGAAGAACAACTCCAAAATATAAATATCGGACTAGAGAAAACTGAAGTTCTTTTACAAAATGTATATGGCACTGGAAGAGCATCTCTCCAAATAGGTCTTACTGATGTAACATCATGCGACACCAGCAAAGATTTTATAACGCTGTTTGCTCTTGGTCAACTACATTGTACAATAAACAATAAAAATAAAATTAAAACAATGTAAACAAGTAAAATATTCATAATTTATAAACTATCAAAATTAGTTTTTAAAGCAATTACATTTTATATATTTTTTAAAAATAACTGCATGTTACAAAGTATTTAAACAAACTGTACACATACTGTTGAATTATAGGTCTATGCAGATTCTAACTTCAACACACAACAGCAAATAACTACCAAATATAGGGTATCATTCTTCCAACCATAAAATATATTTAGATATACTTGGGGAAGCAGATATGCTGACAATATTTTACATTTACTGTACCTTCTAAGCGTCTATCTGTACAACAGGAATCTTTTACGCAAAATGCACCTGACTGCAGTTAGCCATGGTAATAAAATACATACTTTCTTCAGTGTTTCCATTAACTGTTGTATCACAAAGTACTTCTGCAATACAAAAGAACTAAGTGTTAACATGGTATTCTTACAGATGACAGCTCATAAGAAAGTTTGACATGATGGCTTCAAGAATCTGTTATAAGCACCAAGTTCCACTGAAATTAATAGGCTCTCAAAATTATTTTGAAAGATAAGAAAATGTCCAAGATCTACTAAAACGTTAATCTCTTTTGCCACTGTCAAAAGAAAGGCAAATGAACTCTACACTGTCCTATATTTGGAATTCTTCCCTAGCTTTTCAAGAGTTTTTTAAAATGTACTCCAGCCAACATGGTGAATCTGGACACATACTCTTCATGTTAACAATACATTTGCCCTCTCTCTATTGGACTGAGAAGCGGGATGCCAAAGTTCAAAGATAGTTATATTTAGAACTATGCTACAATTAATTTTAAAAATAACTGTCAGGTTGGGGAGGGAAAATCATCACACACTGAAAATTTTGCACCTCATACAGTTACAACTAATACCTAATAATACTATAATGGAAAGGTTTCCCCTCCCACCTCATTTGTTTACTTTGTGTATGCAGCAACACTTTTTACATTTAGCCAGTTTCACTTTTTCCACATATAGTCAATTTCTCCCTTGCTGAAAAGATTCTTATGCATAAAAAGGAACTAAAAAATATTTAAGACACACTGTTTAAAAAGTGCTATATGAGACACTGGATCAAACAAAACAATACATCACTACTTAATTTAAAAAAAATTCAAGCTGACAGTATCACTTTAATATTTTATACCAAAAATGGTTCCTTACCTAGGTTGTTCGAAGTCATATGTTCAACAGGAGGATTAGTACTAAGCTGCCATACTGTTTTAACCTCCTTCTGACCATGTCCACTATTTATTTCCACCCTCCATATTTGTGCATGATCACTGAGGGAATAATCAAATAGTACAAAAAACCCTAATAATTATGTACTCAATCAAGATTTGAATTTCCGTATTATGAAAACTGAGGTTTGGCTTACTTTTGATAGAACTTATTGACAACAGCTGGTCTGATTGGTAGCTGAAACACATGCTTCTCATTCAGAGGATTTTCTTTGTAATATTTTATGCAGGACCTGTGATAAAAGCAGTCAAATACTGTTACTTATTACTTCTTGGATAAGTGTTTATGCAACTATTCAACCCCAGATTAATATACATACAAAACTAACTTCCTTTTACATGGTTTCATGACAATAGATCAGTTACTACGCACTTGCTTGAAACAGATTCCAAAACTTGATTTTGGCTCTTGCTTCCCAGGACAGTAGAAAATGATCATATCACAACAGTGACTTCATAAGAGTTACTATACTTGACAAATTGCAACTGCATAATAATTTATTCCTCACAAATGTTCCCTCTAAAACCATGGTATTTTTTAAAATGGAAGGCTAATTTTTCACACTATCCAGTCACAGACGCTTTGTACCATTGAAAATAAATATGAAATATGTTGGGATTTTGCGCTAGTTGAGAGCTAAATGGATGAAAGCCTCAAAAAATTGCAAGGTTTGGAAGCATGACTTGAAATGGCTGATAAAACAAGACATGCAAGAAAGAAACTGCAGCAACAAAAAAGCTAATGTAAAAAAAAAAACCCCACTAAATATTTGTTCTGAATATTATTCTGAAGGTATGTTCTTATGAATACCTGTTTTACATATTTCAGAATGGAGGAATGGCTGGGATCTGAGAACTCAGAAAGGAAAAGGGAGAAGAGAAGAAAATGAAAATTAGTATTCTCGTGATTTTCCTGAACGCCTTCACAAGATGATTGGGGAAAGTATATTAAACCAGTATGGGGAAAGGGTACTAAACCAGGGCAGAAAATTTGAACAGTAAGATCCAAATGCTCCCAGTATCGTCCCCGTTCCTCACAATCATTATCAATAAAATACAGTTTATAAAAAGTTAGCCTTTTGACTATATCTAGTTATTCAAAACAATCCATTTATTATTGACATTTAATGGCAGAAAGTAAAAATTAAATAATTACTGCATCAAAGGGAAGAGGTTCTCATGTTTGAAATGAAGAAAGACTGTGCAGCTGACCAATATTTCCAGCATATGATGAAGTTTTTGAAGGCGATGAACCTGCTCCTGTAGCTCTACTGATGTGGATATGAAGTAGTCCTAGAGAAGAAAATATAGACTTGAAAACGAGAAATAAACAAAGCTCTTAAAAGGTAACTGTTGGTGTTGGGTGGGTTAAATATGCTAACCAGATGAGTACTCAATTTGTACACATTCTGAAGGTCCACTCTCTCTGCTACATTTGTCTGCCCCTTTTTTATGAGAAAATAGGGTATGGATTTATAAAAATCCTGCTCTCAGAATGCTTCATTAAGCAGATTTCTTGCAAACTAAACACCATGCACTTTCTTGCAGCTGAGAGAAGCAACACTCCATGCAAACCTACAATCTTGAAGTAACCCTAGAACACACAGTTTGTTGATGTTGAGTCAAATGCCAGTGCAGTTAGAATGTCAATCTCTTGCCTACTTTAAAAAAAAAAAGTTTAGTGATGGTGAAAAAGACACTGGATTGTACATGAGACATACTGGCAAGAGTTCAAGTTCCCTCTTAATCTGCAAATATACCCCAACCTTGACCTGGAAAGTCCACCTCTTAGGTGAGAAAGTAGTTTAACCTCCATAGCCATGCAATTTTTGGCTCTCTGCTGAAAATACCAATAAAAATGCTAAATGGGATGGCTTGTGCGATATGCGTTACGGTCTAGACTACCAATTCTTTTCACATGGGTCAAACAGCTGTAACATGGTGGTAATTTTGGATCACCACAGATGTGGGAAGACTACCAATGACTTCAGTAGGTTTGAATCAGGGCTTCGGTCTGAGTTTGAGCCAGAGAGCTGGAAATGAAATGAGGAGATGTCATACTACCATCTTGCATTCATAGTGTGATTTTCATTCTTAGGTCTGAAAGCGTTTTTTACAAAAATAGGGAAATATGATCTCCATTTACAGATGGGAAAAAACACACAGAGGTTAAGTGACTTGTTGTGCGTAAGGTCACACAGCAAGTCAATGGCAGAGTACGGAAGAGAATCTAGATTTCCTGACCTAAAATATGGTGCCCTACCCAGGGGACTAAGCTGCTGTTACCAACCACCTAAGCTATTAAGCCCACACTTTTATCCATACAGCAACCCTAATTTTAAGGAGGTGACAGACTTTCCATGATCAAGAATATGATTCGGAAGAAAAAGTGTTTTTCTAGTAGAATTTTAGGACTGTCAGAGTTGACAGTGTTCACTTCAGAGATGTATGAAACAACCAATTCAGAGTGTTATCAGCTTTTGAAAAGAGTGACAGACAAGCAAAACCTTCAGGGGCACCGTAATGCAAGAGCTACAAAACCCTATTTCTAACTGCAATCCTTCTGCAGTGTGCGCCTTCATGACTGAATGTAAATTTTCTCTACTACTGAAGTTAAAATTTTGTTTCAACAGCTGTAAGAACTCTATTCTCAGGAGCAGATTCAAATTAATGGACAGGATTTCACAGCTCCCTACAACATCCTGGGCATGGTTCTATCATATTTTTCAAGTGGAAGTAGCTCTGTAAATAAGGACATTGAAGGTGGTACCTCAGCTTTGACCTAATTTCTCCTTCCTTTCCCCCCTCGCCAGAGTTAAAAAGAAGTGTTTAAAACACTCAGTTTTCAAGGCTGAGAACTCAGAATATATGTCATAGTCCTACAAATAGGCTTTATGAATTTGGAGAGAAAATTAATCTAAACAAGTATATGTCAAAACTCTATATTGCTTTCAAAATAAGAATTAAAATATCTCACCAGATAGGTTAATGTTGCAAGTTCTTGGCCTATAAAACAAATAAAGATTTTTTTTTTTAAAGAAACAAAAACATTCTACATACTGTGGCAGCTTCAGGCATAAGCAAAACAGGTGGCCACAGGAAGCCACACTAAGGGAAGAGTGCAATCACCACACCTGAGGACTTGTTTGTACTCACTGCTATAAGTACAAAGAGAAACATGAAGTGGCTGGTGTTGGAGACAGTGGTTACCAGCCACCAACATGGCATTTTCCCTACATGGAAATGCAAAGGGGCAGCAGTCATAAGCATAGCAGGTGCTAGGATCAGCTGAGTCACCAGCCCTAAAGTTCTCAACGCTTCTCTCTCCTAAACAGCGTAAGGTTTGAAGCAGCAGAAACAGAAACCAGGTGAGCAAATGAGAGTGCATACAGGCTGGCAGTGTGGTAGGAAGACACAGGGAATGAAGAAAAGGTGAAGAGAGAAGCCTTGAAAAAGGTAACATAGGAATATAGGCCCACATTAGATTGGGTGAACTATGGTTTTAAATTGAACTGGGATATCAGCATGAGCAATAGGCCCAAAGCATGTGACCAAAAAGAATGAGAACATCAGAAAGAAAAGTTATTGCGTTAAACTTGTAGTGACCCTTCAAAATACCAGTGTTATCTTATTTAAGGTTTGGGCTGAAGTAATAGTAATAAAACACAATCAATTGGGTATCAGGTGCAGTAAATAATTGACTATATAAGAAAATCCTTCATATGGCCTTAGCTAAGGTCCGATAATTGGCAATGACATCAATAGTTTGTTAATGGATATAAAAAAAGTAAACTTTTAAAGTCTTCATTGGTAATACCTGCCAGACCACGATGGAGTCGACCACTATGGATCTAAGCCTCCCTGAGTATGGCCTGTTTGTAAGTATCCTGATCAAATGCTTATAAATGTTTTGTTACTATTTGGAGGTAGTAAACTGCTTATTATTTAGACTTTTTAGGCATGTTTAGGACAATTGTATAAATGTCATTTGACCTTTGGATTTAATAAAAGGAATTTATGGTTAAATTAGTTTTGTGATAATACCCTGATAAATAATAATTCCAACAAAGAGTAAGATAAAAGTGACAATGACAAAAATAGGAAAACAAAAAAGGAGACAACAACAACAGAATGGAAGCAAAAGAAACAATGAAACTGTGAGACTGAAGATAAAGCCACAACACCATTGAAGTAACAATTTAATTTAAAAAAACACACACACACACACACACACACACACACACCCCTACATGCTAGCTGCTGTTTCAAGGTGTGGCTCAACAATGCAATTTATTCATTTTGTAAAATAAATTATACTGTCAGTATTCTTGGCTGTCTTCTCCTCA